GTATCACCGTTTCATGATTCAGCTCTTACCCGGGTCTTCCCCAATTAAAAACCTCAGACCAATTTCTTGCTGTAAGACACTTTCATGGCCCCAGGGCCTGATCGGAAAAAAATGTCAATGATATCATGATTATTTGGTTGGTTGGTTTGTTGTTTCACGCCGCACTCAGTTTTGTGCAGCTTTAGGGCGGTAAATTACGGACAATTCTGTGATCAACATCATCACCATCGATCTACGCAATTTGGATACGATGACATGTCAACCAAGTCAGCGAGTCTGACCACCCGATCCCATCAGTCGCCTCTTACAAGCAAGGGTTACTGAAGATCAATTCCAGCCCGGATCTTCACGGGTACTTGATTATTTAGACCGGACTAGGTCACAACATGGGCTCTAGCTGTCAGGAATTGGGTTCCCCTCTCTACTTCTCTCAGCTCAACATCCCCCCTCACCCCACCCCACCCCCACCACTCTCCACACTCAGCATGCAACCCACCTGCTCTGCCCACTCCACTCCACTACACCACACACCCTACACCCTGCTCCATCCCCCACCCCTCTCCACTGCACTGCACTACACTACACACCCCTTCTACCCCACCCCGACCACTCTACTCCATTCCCACTACACTGCAATACACTACACTACACTATACTGCACACCCCACCCCTGCCCCTCTGCTCTCCTCTACTACACACCTACCCCACCCCCACACTCCACTGCTTCTCCACTCCACTCTCATTCCATTCCACTACATTACACTCCACCTCCACTGCCTCCACTCTCAACTCCACTACCTGCACCCTACCCCACCCACCCTCTAATTCTCTCTCCACTCCACTCTACTCCATTCCACTACTCTACACTACACTACACTACTCTTACACTACACTACACCACACACCCCACCCCTACCCCCACCACTTCTCCTGCTCCACTCTTACTCCACTCTATTCCACTACGCTACACTACACCATGCCCCACACCCCACCTCACCCACTCACTCCACTGTTCCTCCACTCTGCTCTACTTTCCTCCTCTCCATTCCACTACATTACACTACACTACACCACACACTACCCCTACCACTCTCCACTACACTTTCAATCTCTCAACTCAATTCTCCATTCCACTACAGCTACACTACACCACACACCTCCACCCCACCCCCCACCTACCACTTCTCTTACTCCAGTCCACTCCACTACACTACGCCACACCACACATCCTACCCCTACCCCCTACTTCCTTACCCACACCACACTACACTACACTACACTACACTACACTACACTACACCACACATCCCACCACACCCCACTACACTACACTACACACCCCACTACACTACACTACACATACTCACACTACACTACACCACACACCACACACCACACCTCAATTTCACCTCTCCATCTTTCTCTCACTCTGCCTGCCTCCATTCCATTACACTACACTGCACTACACTACATCACACACCCTACCCACTTCCACTACACTACACTACTACACACTCCCACTTTCTCACCACTCACTACACTACACTACACTACACCCCACTACACCACACACCCTACCTTCTACTACACTACACTACACTACACTACACTACACTCACACCCCACTACACTACACTCACACTACACTACACTACACCACACACCCTACCTCACACCCCTACTACACTACACTACACTCACATACACACCTACTCACTACACTACACTACACTACACTACACTACACTACACTACACTACACTACACCACACACCACACCACACCCTACCTCACTCTCCACTCTGCTCTGCACTCACATTCTACACTACATTGCACTACACTACACACACACCTCTTCCTACTTCACTACACTACACTACACTACACCACACACCCCACTACACTACACTACACTACACTACACACCCCACTACACTATACTACACTACACTACACCACACACCACACACCACACCCCACTCTCTACCTTCTTTCCTTGCTCTGCTCAATTCCACTACACACTGCACTACACTACACTACACTACACTACACTACACTACACTACACTACACTACACTACACCACCCACCCTCACACACCCCACTACACTAGACTACACTTCACCACACACCCCACCCTCTACTACACTAGACTACACTACACCACACCCACCCCCACCCCTCACTACACTAGACTACACTACACCACCTACCACACACCCACTACACTAGACTACACTACACCACACACCCCACCCCACCACTACTACACTAGACTACACTACACTACACCACACACCCCACCCCCACTACACTACACTACACTACACCACACACTACCCACCTCTACTACACTACACACTACACTACACTACACCACACACCCCACCCCCACTACACTACACTACACTACACCACACACCCCACCCCTACTACACACTCACACTACATACCTACACTACACCACACACCCCACCTCTACTACACTACACTCACACTACACCACACACCCCACCTCTACTACACTACACTACACTACACTACACCACACACCCCATCCCCACTACACTACACCACACACCCCATCCCTACTACACACTACACTACACTACACCACACACCACTACCCCACTACACTACACCACACACCACCCCACCCCCACTACACTAGACTACACTACACACCACACACCCCACCCCCACTACACTAGACTACACTACACCACACACCCACTACCCCCCACTACACTACACTACACTACACCACACACCCCACACCCACTACACTACTACATACTACACTACACCACACCACACCCCCACCCCCACTACACTACAACACACACACCCCTACCCCACTACACTACACTACACTACACTAAACTACACCACACACCCCACCCCTTCACTCTCTCCACTCCACTCTCACTCCATTCTCAAGTTACACTACACTACACTCACACTACATCATACACCCCACCCCTATTACACTACACTACACCCCACACCCTACCCCACCCCTCACTACACTACACTACACTACACTACACTCACCACACTACACTCACACTACACTACACTACACTACACTACTTCTACATTACACTACACCACCCACACCACCCTACCCCTACCTTCTCCACTCTCCACTGGCTCCATTCCCATTCCACTACATTGCACTACACTACACCACACACCCTACTCCCACTACACTACACTACACTACACTAGACTACACCACACCACACACCCCACGCCTACACTACACTACACTACACTACACTACACTACACTACACTACACTACACTACACTACACTCTTCACACTACACTTCAATACACTACAATACACCACACACCCCTTCCCCACTTCACTACACTACACTACACCACACACCACACACCCACTACACTACACTACACTACACTACACCACCCACCCCACCCCCTGTCCCCACTACACCACACTCACACACCACACCCCACCACTCTCCACTCCACTCCACTCCATTCCACTACACTGCACTACACTACACACTACACTACACTACTTCTACACCACACCCCCACCCCACACCCACCACTCTCCACCTCCACTCCATTCCACTACACTGCACTACACTACACCCACCCCCACCCCTCTCCACTCACACAACCACTCCCACCCCAACCCCACCACTCTCCACTCTCCCTCCACTCCACTCCATTCCATTCCACTACAAGCTACACTACACTACACCACACTACACTACACTACACTACACTACACTACACTACACTACACTACGCTCCACTCCAATACACTACACTACACACCCCACCCCACCGCTCTCTACTCCACTCCGCTCCATTCCATTCCACTACACTACACTACACTACACTACACTACACTACGCTCCACTCCAATACACTACACACCCCACCCCACCCTCACCACTCTCCACTCCGCTCCGCTCCACTCCACTCCATTCCATTACACTGCACTACACTACACTACGCCACACTACACACTACACTACAGTACACTACACACACCCCACCCCACCCCACCCCCACCACTTCCACCCGCTCCTCTCCACTCACAGTGCCTACCCGTACCTATCAAAGTAAATGCCTCGTATTCAAGGAGGCACTTTATTTGACGTTAAAGAAATTCAAACATCGAACATGCGTACATTAAGAATCAAACAAAGTTTATTTTTACAGAAACAAAATTGGGATGTGATCTGTTCAGGAAATAGAGAGCGTCTCTTCAAAATGAAACATACAACTTTATGGATGACAACTTCTTGGATGAGTGATTTGAGTTTTACGCCGCACTCAGCAATATTCCAGCTATATGACGGCGGTATGTAAATAATCGAGTCTGGACCAGACAATCCAGTGACCAACAGCATGAGCATCGATCTGCGCAATTGGGAACCGATGACATGTGTCAACCAAGTCAGCGAGCCTGACCACCCGATCCCGCTAGTCGCCTCTTACGACAAGCATGGGTTACTGAAGATCAATATTCTAACCCAGATCTTCACGGGTAACAACTTCTTGATCTATTGCATAGAGCAACGTTTCGATGTAGATTCTAACATCGTTATGAAGATAAGAGTGACTACAACCAATTGGTGAGGAGCATATATACATGGTATGTTATGACAAGCAGCAGATTTACATAAACAACAGCAGGTAATTGAATAACATGTGGTACATAATTGTAACAGGCCAGTAGGGGACTTAGACCAACAATAGATCACGTGATGAAGCCAATGAACAAGGAGGATGAAGTAGTAACAACAGGCTAATTGGCACCTTTTGACTCAGGATCTTCTAGAATACCGATCAAACAAAATGTATCTCTTGTTAGGAGGAATGTTGCAATGTTTGTGTCGACTCAGTAGACGCGTTTGCCCTGAATTGGAGATATATATCTCACAGCTGCCTCACCTGTATATACAGGTGAACTGTACGCTACATTACGTCTGTCTGAGACGGGTCCTTCTTTAGGAGAGCTGTACCCTCCATGCAGCTCACGTCTATCAGACGGGTGCTTCTTTAGGATAGCTGTACCCTCCATGCAGCTCACGTCTATCTGAGACGGGCCCTTCTTCAGGAGAGCTGTACACTACATCATACATCTCACATCCTACGCCTTGGTTCCTATGATGCTCTTGTTGGTCCATCCTTGAGGGACACTGGTCAGCTTCAAGCGACCACTCCGAGTCCTGGCTGATCTCGCTGTTCTCCCAGACAGGTTCTGCCCGGCTGCCACTGTGATGTTAGGGAAAAATTGTTAATGCATTGTTCACAAGGAAACATAAGCCAGAAGTCATATTTATATTTACAAGTTTCCCATAGGGTGAGTGAGTGAGTGAGTTTGGTTTTACGCCGCTTTTAGCAATATTCCAGCAATATCACGGCGGGGGACACCAGAAATGGGCTTCACACATTGGACCCATGTGGGGAATCGAACCCGGGTCTTCGGCGTGACGAGCGAACGCTTTCGCCACTAGGCTACCCCACCGCCCCTGAGTACTTTGCTTCAATTCGGATATCAGCACGAACTAGATCCCAGGCTTACCGTCGACAGCACCTGCATTTGCAGAACCGACAGCAAACAGCCAATATGATTACGAATATTGCTGTTGTCGGTAGTCCCACAGTCAGCATGGCCTTGATGGTTTCGGTGCGATCATCTGGCAAACATATATGTGCAAAACAATGGAAAATAATCTGGAGCATTTGTGGCATGCTTCATAACAAAGTATATATCAGTGAAGATATCACTTACATAGCTTATGATACCATTAAAGATATCACCTATATGCCTTATGATACCACTGATGATATCACTTCTATGCCTTATGATACAGCTGATGATATCACATATGCTTTGTGATACAGCTGATGATATCACCTATATAACATATGATACAGCTAATGATATCACATATGCTTATGATACAGCTGATGATATCACTTAAATGCCATATGATACAGCTGATGATATCACCTATATAACTTATGATACAGCTGATGATATCGCATATGCCTTATGATACAGCTGATGATATAACTTATATGCCTTATGATACCACTGATGATATCACCTATATAACATATGGTACACTGATGATATCACCTGTATAACTTATGATACCACTGATATCACCTATATAACATATGATACAATGATGATATCACCTGTATCACTTATGATACAGCTGATGATATCACCTATATAACTTATGATACAATGATATCACCTATATAACTTATGATATCAGTGATGATATCACCTATATTACTTATGATACAGCTGATGATATCCCCTATATAACTTATGATATCAATGATGATATCACCTATATCACTTATGATACAATGATGATATCACCTATATAAATTATGATATCAGTGATGATATCACCTATATTACTTATGACACAGCTGATGATATCCCCTATATAACTAATGATACCACTGACGATAACCCCTATATAACTTATGATACCACCGATGATATCACCTATATAACTTATGATACTACTGATGATATCACCTATATAACTTATGATACTACTGATGATATCACCTATATAACTTATGATACCACTGATATCACCTATATAACTTATGATACCACTGATGATATCACCTATATAACTTATGATATCAATGATGATATCACCTATATCACTTATGATACCACTGATGATATCACCTATATAAATTATGATATCAGTGATGATATCACCTATATTACTTATGACACAGCTGATGATATCCCCTATATAACTTATGATACCACTGCTGATATCCCCTATATAACTTATGATACCACTGATGATATCACCTATATAACTTATGATACAGCTGATGATATCACCTATATAACTTATGATACAATGATATCACCTATATAACTTATGATATCAGTGATGATATCACCTATATTACGTATGATACAGCTGATGATATCCCCTATATAACTTATGATATCAGTGATGATATCACCTATATCACTTATGATACCACTGATGATATCACCTATATAACTTATGATATCAGTGATATCACCTATAATTACTTATGACACAGCTGATGATATCCCCTATATAACTTATGATACCACTGATGATATCCCCTATATAACTTTTGATACAGCTGATGATATCCCCTATATAACTTATGATACTACTGATGATATCACCTATATAACTTATGATACTACTGATGATATCACCTATATAACATATGATACCACTGATGATATCACCTATATAACTTATGATACCACTGATGATATCACCTATACAACTTATGATACAGCTGATGACGCCACTGTTAGTATCACTTACGATACAACTGAGGATACCATTGATGATATCACCGAGATAAAACTCATGTGCCACTAATGATATCACCGATGATAATCTAACAGTTACGTGTAGAAGATGTTCCAGGAAGAAACAGTATTTTTCTCTATTTGCTTTTTAGTGCCCCTCTCAGCAGTATTTCGGCTATATGAGTGAATCAGTTTAGTTTTACGTTTTACGCAATATCGCTTTTAGAGTCAAAATTCACAGCAATGTTGATCACGGCGGACGAGCGAGACCAAAACTTGGCTACCCACCGTGCCAGCTGAATACTTACACTGAGATGAACATCGTGGGCCATGCCAACCATGTTTACACCCGAAGAAACAATCACCACTTTTCCTGTGACAATCACTCTGTGTCATCACTGAAGACTGATCTTCTAGGGTGAAAGGATTCCGACGACAGTTAGTACTGCATGTGTTGTAGCAGCTATTCCCGTAGTAGGAGTCTACACATCCAGACACACAAGATGACTCCAGCTGACAATATCCTGCATCACAACCACCTGGACATGCTGTACAGTTACCTCCTGGACTGTCACATGGTATGTTGCAGCCAGTCCCGTAGTAGGAGCCTACACATCCAGACACACAGGATGAGCCCAGCTGACAATATCCTCCATCACAACCACCTGGACATGCTGTACAGTTATCTCCTGGACTGTCACATGGTATGTTGCATCTCTGGCCTTGATATCCTGGCTCACAACCCTCGGTGCACCGTCCACTACCCTCGGCAGATTGATAACACAGATTACCTTTACAATGCCCATCGCACACAGAGAAACATTTCAGATCAAAGTACCCCGTGTCACACTGAGTGAGGCAATGTCCCGTCGTGTTGTCACAGTCAGAACAGTGCTGGTTGTCCAAGCACGGACCAGCTGAAAATATTAACGGTTTTGATGAAATGCCACACACCGATATTTACACAGTGAGGTGCAATCGTACTAATATTACATTTTCTTTATTTCCTTAAAGTAACTGACAGTATTAGAAAGATTAGGAGACTGCATGTACTTTGATACGGAGGGGCCCGAATTCCCACATTAGTCGGTCATAACAAATGAAAAACATTCAAAGGTTGACACATTTGAGATAGACACAACTAATCAGCTTACCTTTTGTTGCAATTACCATGAACGCAATGCTCAGGAATACAGAGAAGGTCATACTGTTTCTGAAATGTAGACAAAAGGCAGAGGTCACACTGTGTCTGAAATGTTGACACACGACAGAGAAGGTCATACTGTGTCTGAAATGTAGACAAAAGGCAGAGGTCACACTGTGTCTGAAATGTTGACATACGACAGAGAAGGCCAAACTGTGTCTGAAATGTTGACACACGACAGAGAAGGTCATACTGTGTCTGAAATGTAGACAAACGACAGAGTAGGTCACAATGTGTCTGAAATGTAGACAAAAGACAGAGAAGGTCATGAAGTGTCAGAATTGAAGAGAAAAGGCAGAGGTCATACTGTGTTTGAAATGTAGAAAAAAGACAGTGAAGGTCATACTGTGCCTGAAATGTGGACAAACGACCGAGAACGTCATACTGTGTCTGAAATGAAGACAAAAGAAAGAGAAGGTCATGAAGTGTCTCAAATGTAGAGGAACGGCAGAGGTCACATTGTGTTTGAAATGTAGACAAAAGACAGAGAAGGGCATTCAGTGTCTGAAATGTAGACAAATGACAAAGGAGGTCACACTGTGTCTGAAATGTAAACAAAAGACAGAGAAGGTCATGCTGTGTCTGAAATGTAGACAAATGACAGAGAAGGTCATACTGTGACTGAAATGTAGACAAAAGACAGAGAAGGTCATAAAGTGTCTGAAATCTGGAGAAAAGGCAGAGGTCATAATGTGTCTGAAATGTGGACAAAAGGCAGAGGAGGTCATACTGTGTCTGAAAAGTAGACAAATGACAGAGAAGGTCATATTGTGTCTGAAATGTAGACAAATGACAGAGAAGGTCATACTGTGTCTGAAATGTGGACAAAAGACAGAGAAGGTCATACTGTGTATGAAATGTAGACAAATGACAGAGAAGGTCATGCTGTGTCTGAAATGTAGACAAATGACAGAGAAGGTCATACTGTCTCTGAAATGTAGACAAAGACAGAGAAGGTCATGAAGTGTCTGAAATGTGGAGAAAAGGCAGAGGTCATAATGTGTCTGAAATGTGGACAAAAGGCAGAGGAGGTCATACTGTGTCTGAAATGTAGACAAATGACAGAGAAGGTCATGCTGTGTCTGAAATGTAGACAAAAAGACAGAGAAGGTCATGAAGTGTCTGAAATGTAGACAAATGACAGAGAAGGTCATACTGTGTATGAAATGTTGACAAAAGACAGAGAAGGTCATGCTGTGTCTGAAATGTCGACAAAAGACAGAGAAGGTCATGAAGTGTCTGAAATGTGGAGAAAAGGCAGAGAAGGTCATACTGTGTCTGAAATGTCGACAAATGACAGAGAAGGTCATACTGTGTATGAAATGTAGACAAATGACAGAGAACGTCATACTGTGTTTGAAATGTCGACAAAAGACAGAGAAGGTCATACTGTGTTTGAAATGTCGACAAATGACAGAGAAGGTCATACTGTGTCTGAAATGTAGACAAATGATAGAGAAGGTCATACTGTGTATGAAATGTAGACAAAAGACAGAGAAGGTCATGAAGTGTCTGAATCGTAGAGAAAAGGCACAGGTCATACTGTGTTTGAATGTAGACAAGTGACAGAGATGGTTACACTGTTTCTCAAATGTAGACAAAAGACAGAGAAGGTCAAACTGTGTCTGTAATGTGGACACACGACAGATAAGGTCATACTGTGTCTGAAATGTAAAGAAAAGACAGAGAAGGTCATGAAGTGTCTCAATAGTAGAGAAAAGACAGAGGTCACACTATGTTTGAAATGTGGATAAAAGAGAGAGAAGGTCATAATGTGTCTGAAATGTGGAAAAAGACAGAGAAGGTTACACTGTGTCTGAAATGTAGACAACAGACAGTGGTCACACTGTGTCTGAAATGTAGAAAAAAGACAGAGAAGGTCATACTGTGTCTGAAATGTAGACAAAAGACAGAGAAAGTCATACTGTGTCTGAAATGTAGACAAAAGACAGAGAAGGTCATGCTGTGTCTGAAATTTAGACAAAAGACAGAGGTCATACTGTGTCTGAAATGTAGACAAAAGATAGAGAAGGTCATGAAGTGTTTGAAATGTAGGAAAAAAGGACAGACAGAGAAGGTCATACTGTGTCTGAAATGTAGACAAAAAGACAGAGAAGGTCATGAAGTGTCTGAAATGTAGACAAAGACAGAGAAGGTCATACTGTGTCTGAAATGTAGACAAAAGACAGAGAAGGTCATGCACTGTGTCTGAAATGTCGACAAAAGACAGAGAAGGTCATGCTGTGTCTGAAATGTAGACAAAAGACAGAGAAGGTCATACTGTGTCTGAAATCTAGAAAAAAGACAGTGAAGGTCATACTGTGTCTGAAATGTGGACAAAAGACAGAGAAGGTCATACTGTGTCTGAAATGTAGACAAAAGACAGAGAAGGTCACACTGTGTCCGAAATGTAGAAAAAAGACAGAGAATGTCATGCTGTGTCTGAAATGTAGACAAAAGACAGAGAAGGTCATACTGTGTCTTAAATGTATACAAAAGACAGAGAAGGTCACACTGTGTCTTAAATGGAGACAAATGACAGAGAAGGTCATACCGTGTCCTAAAATGTTGACAAAAGACAGAGGTCATACTGTGTCTGAAATGTAGACAAAAGACAGAGAAGGTCATACTGTGTCTGAAATGTCGACAAAAGACAGAGAAGGTCATACTGTGTCTGAAATGTAGACAAAAGACAGAGGTCATACTGTGTCTGAAATGTAGACAAAAAAGACAGAGAAGGTCATGCTGTGTCTGAAATGTGGACAAAAGACAGAGAAGGTCATACTGTGTCTGAAATGTAGACAAAAGACAGAGAAGGTCACACTGTGTCTGAAATGTAGAAAAAAGACAGAGAATGTCATGCTGTGTCTGAAATGTAGACAAAAGACAGAGAAGGTCATACTGTGTCTTAAATGTAAACAAAAGACAGAGAAGGTCACACTGTGTCTTAAATGGAGACAAATGACAGAGAAGGTCATACCGTGTCCTAAAATGTTGACAAAAGACAGAGGTCACACTGTGTCTGAAATGTAGACAAATGACAGAGAAGGTCATACTGTGTCTGAAATGTAGACAAAAGACAGAGAAGGTCATACTGTGTCTGAAATGTGGAGAAAAGACAGAAAGGTCATACAGTGTCTGAAATGTGGACAAAAAGACAGAGAAGGTCATACTGTGTCTGAAATGTAGACAAAAGACAGAGAAGGTCATTAAAAAACAGAGAAGTCTGAATTCTGAAATGTGGAGAAAAGGCAGAGGTCATACTGTGTCTGAAATGTGGACAAAAGGCAGAGGAGGTCATACTGTGTCTGAAATGTAGACAAATTACAGAGAAGGTCATACTGTGTCTGAAATGTAGACAAAAGACAGAGAAGGTCATGAAGTGTCTGAAATGTGGAGAAAAGGCAGTGGTCATAATGTGTCTGAAATGTGGACAAAAGGCAGAGGAGGTCATACTGTCTCTGAAATGTAGAAATAAGATAGAGAAAGCCATGCTTTGTCTGAAATGTGAACAAAGGACAGAGATCATACTGTGTCTGAAATGTATACACATTACAAGCAGAACAGGAACGAAGCAGTAAATGACGATAGCTATTTCGCTTCAGAAAAATATATTCTATTTATTCGGGCTTAAAGTCAACTCCATTGTCATGTATGATGTTCTAGATGCAATACAGCATCAAAGACAAGGATCACAATTGGAGAAGGATGACGCAGAGTAGAGTTGACAATTCATATGTGCAGACATCCCTGTATTCTTGACTCAAAACATGAATATATCAAAAATAGACAATCAATGAGTATTAGATTTGAATTGTAACGATACCTCATTGTAAAAAAGAGGAACAAACTAATGTTTAGGAAAAGCAAGATTTATGGATGTCAACTTTTTTATTGTGAATAACACCACGTTTCGGAGTGTATGCTTACTCCTTCATCAGGTGAATGGTAGGGAGTATGAGGGGTACACACACACACACGGACGCACGCACGCACACGCACACGCACGCACACACACAAACACACACAAAACAAAACAAACAAAAAAAAACAACAACAACAACAACAACACAAAAAAAACAACAACAACAAAACAACAACAAACGAACAGACACACACACACATATGTGAGGCACTGCAAAGAAAACATTGTTAAGGAGCAGAACATATGCTAGGACACATACCTGTTAGAACTTTCAACAGCAGCAAGGTTCTCATCCGAACATCTCTAAGGGACTCGGACAATTCAATGTCCTTCTATAATGTATAGTTATGTTAGGATATAGTTCAACTGTGTTGCTTATTCCGCCTTTACAGGAAGTACGTGCATTGTTAACAGATATCATAACTTCAGGAAATGCTGACAGAAGCAGTTGCCTCAGTTTGTGTGTGTTGACATGGATGTCCACATGTTTAACATTGTTGTCCGTGTAGTCATATGAAGTGATGAGTTTCTGGGAAATGAAGACGGAAATAGTTCACTTCCGTACTGTGTATTAGGTTGCTGGTTACACATAAAATATTACACTGTGTCATTTAGAATGTAATCAAATGTAACTTAGTAAAGTACAGATTCTAGTGACCGCCTCCGTGGTGTAGTGGTTACAGCGTCCGCCCGGAGAGCGGAAGGTCGCGGGTTTGATCCCCGACCGCGTCATACCAAAAGACGTTCAAATATAGTGCTTGTTGGTCCCTGCCTGGCGCTCGGCATTAATGGGTACAACAAGGACTGGTCGGCTCGGAGTCAGTATAATGTGTCTGAGTGGGGTATTCATGCTTCACTGCGGCATGGTATCTCAGTGGGCTAGCACTATAAAACCAGCTTTAGTCTGGGCTAGTACAAGCAGCCGCACATACACATACACACACGTCGCACATACACACACGTCATATATGCGAAATATTCTGAAGTACGACGTTAAACCCAATTTCACCTCACCTGACAGATTCTAGTACTTTTGTTGGTGCCTGACTCTGAGGATGTGGGTTCGAATCCCAGATGGGACTCAACCCTACAAAAGTACAAGAATCTGTACTTCACTAAGAAAGTGTAATCCCAAATATAACATATGTTACACATAAACAAACATATAATGACAGTACAATTATACTCTGACAAAAAAAGTAGCGGATTGGGGGTCTGGCGTATGTTTTTATCTATACGATATTGGCAAATGAGAATGATGTGATCATAACGGACGAGGATATGCTATCAGGTCTTCTTGGTTCTAAGGTTCTAACTTTTGGCTTGGTGAGCGTGTTGGTTTGTTGTTTAACGCCGCACTCAGCAATATTGCTGTGTACATTGGAATATGTATCGTCATTAATGTTGTATGTGTCGTGTGTAACGAATCTACATGTGAGGTGTATATACTTTGATAGCTGATTGCATTGTTACAATCATGAAACGGCCCTCCCATTATCAGAAATTTCCGGCCGCTGCAAATGATATTGGACCGCTCAACCTTAACGACGGGCCACTATCAGTTCTTTTGTCAATTGACGTCATAGTGGGTGCGTGGGCTTACGGTTCATTCGACATTAATTGGCTTTTAACTGGCAGATATTCTGGGTCAAACAAGTCAAAGCAACCCGAATTCCCGCTTTTAATAGCGGTAATATTGGCTTTCTTGTTGGTGCTAACATTAACAATTGCACTATTAAGGCTGTTGATGGACCAAAACCGAACACTGACATAGTTTGACATGTTGCAGGCTATGGTCTTGTCAAAGGCCAAGGTCGAATATCGTTACTTTCTGTTGTGACGTCACTTGAATTGTTCGATGACGTAATTGCATTCGGACAGTCAACCCCGTCAGAAGTTGAGTAAACTTACAGTCAAATTCCTTCATTGTTTCCTTTTCCCTTTCAACACAAATTCCATGTATTTTAGCAATAATAACGGTAATGCTATTTTTGAGGGCATTATCATTTGCAGAAGCTCTCGGTCATTTTCAACTGCCCTCCTTCGACGAAAACCTCGGGCTTCAGCAAATGATAATGCCCTCAAAAATAGCATTACCCTTTATACTAATAATGAATTATAAACCATACCATTGTTGATTGATTATGTGGATCATCCTGTGACTGCTGTGTAATAAACTCCATGTTTATTTTACTCAGCTGTTGTGCTGTGTGTGGGTTGGTATAGTCAGACCTCTTGCCAAGCGAGCTGATTCCCCAACAAATGGTGAACCAGATACCGACCCCAGTCCACACAATTTGGTTCTTCCTGCACTCAAGGCATGCACCGAGCGTTCTTCATACCAAGAGAGTCGGACAGTATTCTAACGCGTCTTTACCACTTTCCTTGACGCTGTAGCTCCAGAACGTAGTTCAAGAAAACCTGAGCTTTAACAAAGTTGACCCCAGGACCATAGTGCACACCATCCACACTCCTCACTCCTTTCGTCATATTGAAGGTATCAAACACAGGGACGTTGGACGCTTCCACGAGGTCCTTCATATACATGTTGAAGGTTTCTGCGTGTTCATTGTCTGATGTTGGCACAACCCGTCTGTGGAACAGGCCAAAATAATGAACACCTGACCATATCAGCTTCGGCCAAAAGTGATTCTTGTCCTCAAGTAAACTGATCACAGCCAAGGCATATATCTTCAAGTCCAACCTATCAAACCTATTCCAAGCACCTGCACCGAAGAAGATTACAGATTTAGGTTTTCCCAGAATCTTTTTCACATCTCTCCTCATGTTTGGAACATCGTCACATTGTGGATAATGGCGGAACAGCGCAGTTACTGTCCCATTGCAGAGAGTCGGGGTGTAGTCTATAAATGACCGACAGTTGCGTGTTGGAAAGACATACATTCCAGAACACTGTTTCTTAATATCTGTAAACAAAATATGTGTATACATTTAAATAAATTGTAATTCATCAGTTTTGTGAGGCTGTGAAATGTGAAAAAGTGAGTGAGTGAGTGACTTCGGTTTTACGCCGCTTTAAGCAATATTCCAGCAATATCACGGCGGGGGACGCCAGAAATGGGCTTCACCCATTGGACCCATTTGGGGAATCGAACCCAGGTCTTTGTCGCGACGAGCGAACGCTTTAACCACTAGGCTACCCCATCGTGGAAAAACATTCGTTTGTTCCTGTGTACAATCTCTAGTAATGATGAGCAAACACTGTGATACATACCCTCAGGTGCATCTGGTCGAAGTCCGCCATATTGATTATCTCCCTTTAGTGTGATTATGAGGGCTAAGAACACCATTCTGACGAGGGAGTCTCCATAGAAGTGGTACGTGCCTCCACGGAGCAGGTCACAGGCAGCTTTGGGGGTGAAGTTTTTTACCTGACATCTAAGCATATAAAACCTTATGTTTACTTCACTGAGTGACCAATAGCTTGGGGGACATCTGACCACATGAAGAAATTCTTTGTTTTTCGAGTCTCGTGAAATAACTCTATTACATGTCATGCGTATCGTGCTCGGTAATATTAAAGCTTTTACAGTCTTACCACAGAGGCGTTTAACGCAAAACACTGACATCAAGGTATATACAGTCACTGACGGGATATGTACACTATATAAAAGGACTATATATAAAGGAAAGGCGTAACGAAGTCAACGAACCAGTTTGTTTCAGGGCGAATTCAACAACGCTTACTGTATATACTAGTACCCCGTCTATAAATTAAAATGTATACATACGAAATTGGTTTAGATTGTGACGAGTGAATGCCTATTGATTTTGAATACCTATACCGCGAAACATTGTTTTGATCATGTTATAATAAATGTGACTGTTTAGTAATAACGAATAATGGCAGTCAGCTGCTAGTTGAATTTAAGGGAGAGGGAGACGCATTTCTTATTTTACTTTTTCATTTGTATATTCGTTGTATTTACCTGGAATCTTCGGGAATCCATTTCGAATATTCAGCATGTATCTGAGGTCGAAGGTCATAGCAGTTCTTACAAACACATTCTTGAATCGTTTTCATCTGACACTTGTTGTTATAGCAACAAGGGTTACTTCCCCTTGGGTTACACAATGCTCGGGTCCAGTCAGCCATTTTGTCACGTGACTTCCATGGATAGTAGCTCAGGTTCCCGCATCTTCTATCCGCCAATTCGATGTTATCGCTTCCATTTACAGCGTACAGGCCTTGAAGTAGAAACGCATCAATCTCATCTTCCTCTTTCTTTGAGATATTCCGTGTTGCCCAGGAACCTGCCACCATATACTTTAGTACATCTGGGCATGCATCAGAAACTGGGTGCGGCTCTGTCCCCAGCAGGTGAACTGACCTTGGTTGGTAAGTCCTGTACATCACGAATAAAGTTACGGCTCCAACAGTGAACAGCAATAACGGTTTGGATTGGAACGTGATGCTCGTATCTTCCTTCATGCTGATCGGATTCTGAAAGAACGAGTGAGTGAGTGAGTGTGAGAGAGTGAGAGTTAGAGTGGCAGTGGCAGTACAAGTGAAAGTGAAAGTGAAAGTTAGTGAGTGAGTTTTACGTCGCACTCAGTAATATTCCACCAATATGGCGGCGATCTGTAAATAATCGAGTCTGGATCAGACAATCCAGTGATCAACAGCATGAGCATCGATAAACGGAATTGCGATACGATGACATGTGTCAACCGAGTCAGAGAGCCTGATCACCTGATCCCTTTAGTCGCCTCTTACGACAAGCATGGGTTACTGAAGATCAGGGTCCCTATTCTCGAAACGTTCGTGGCCCTAAGAATTATTAACTTTGATCGTAGCCAATATGTTAAGAATGGGTTTAATAAGTTCGTAAGGCTACAAGCGTTTCGAGAATAGCTATCCTGATCTTCATGGGTGAACGTAAGGAATCAGTAATCTTATCCACTTATGAAAAAAATAGCAAATTTTAGTCTTTCAATTTTCTATTGATAGATTGCAGCATTCCTTTACATATCTGACGTCGCATCACCTACATAAGTCTGAGTGAGTGAATACTTAACGTCACATCGGATGTATTTACAACCATATCTTGACGAGCATTTATATAAGATGAATATATTCAGAACTTTAAAACCCCGTCGTCGATGGGCAGTAAAACTACTAGTGTATCACAGTAATTTATATAAAACTAGCATGTTATCTTGAAAAGATATAATATAAGAAAAATAGAAACGTATAGGTGATTTTGAGAATATTGGACTCATGTAGCTGCGGCTAAAATAGTACAAATATACTATTTCTTTACAAAACGTCATCATTGTGTGACTGTAGACAGCTTCATTTTCAACTTCTCCTC